TCTCTCTCTTAAAAAAAAACACCCCAAATAAACTTGAGGAAGCAAAAACTATAATATTTGAAAAATACACTGGACGGGATCAATGGCAGATTAAACATTGCAGAGAAAAATGAATGAGCTTGAAGATTCAACAACTGGGACCGCCCCAATAAAACACAGAGAGAAAACAGTAGAAAAGAACAATTTCAAGCAGCTTAACAAACATGCAGTTGAGGGTCTCTGAAAGGGGTGGAGGACAGAAGCAATTTTTGAAGGAATATGGATGAAAACTACAAACACACAAATCCAAGAAGGTTGACAGGCCAAACCTTGGAGAAATGACAGCTAAGCAAACCATAATCAAACTGCTGAAAATCAGCAATAAAGAGAAAATCTGAGAAGCAGACAGAGGAAAAAAAGACACCCTGGTTACCAAGGAACAAAGATGAGAAAGTGGCACACCCTGCCCCCGTGAGACCCCCGGGGCCCTGCAGGACACCTTTGAAGTTCTGAGAGCAAAGGGGTCTGTCAGCCTCGAATTCTATCCCCAGCTAAAATAGCTTTCAAAACAAAGCTGAAATGAAGACTTTTTCAAACTTGCAAAAGCTGAAGGAATTCATCACTAGTAGATTTGCAAGGGTCCTTCAGGTAGAAGGGCGATGGTCACAGATGGGGACATGGACGGACACCAAGGAGTGAAGATGGATGGAGATGGACACTATGTAGTTGAATGTGTGACTGTTCATTTAAATCTCTAAGATCTCTCTGATTTAAATGTAAGTGAAACAATAGCATTCTGTTATGGAGTGTACAACGTGTAGGTACAGCGCATGGTCACGGCAGCGTGACGGCTGGAGGGGAGACATAGGAACACTGCTGGGAGGGGCATACGCCCTGGGAAGGGGGTCTTCTCCCTGCAGGCTTGCTGCAGTCACTCAGAGTCGCACAGTCAACCGGGAGGCAACTGTCAAAATCGCAGAGCTGAGGGCCATAGCTAATAAGTCAAGACGGGGGTAAGACGGAACTAAACAATACCCAACTTAAAAAGAGCAAGAAAGAGAAAAGGAAATAAAGAAGGAATGGAGAGGGATGAAATTGACCAAATTATGCCACACACATATGTATGAACCCACCCCAGCGTATTCTGCCTCTGTGTGTACTGTAAAGCACCAATCTTAAAACAATCAACAGAGGGGAAAAGAACAAATGGGAAAAGGTAAGTTGACAGACTTCGACTTAATGTCTTCTAGATTAAAACATGAAAGGTCACCAATGTAATTCACTAACTTAACACGCTAAAAATAAAAAGGGCAATGATCACCTCAACAGGCCCAGGAGGAGCATTTGACCACATTCTGCATCCACGCCTGACGGAAAGCAGCAAAACTCTCAGCAAACTAGCACCGGGGAACTAGGAGTAGAAGGGGATCTAGAAATCAGGGCTCACTGATCATAATAGTGAGAAGCTTCACGATCAGGATGATGCTCCTGCTCCTGCGATTCAACACTGGGGGCTCCAGCCAGAGGAAGGGGCCAGAGAAAGGAAGGACACCAGATCTTATAGGCTGTCTTATTCACAGGCCACGTGGTCACTCACTTTGTACGCATGACCGGATCTACGGGAAGCCTCCTGCAACTGGTGAGTGAGGTTGGCAAGGTTGCAGGATACAAGATCAGTATACAAGAAGCCTAGCTCATCTCCGTGCACCAGCAGCCCACAACCAGACACAGAAAAATACTGCGCAAAACAGGAAATCCTTAGGGATACATCTGACACGAGGTAGGCAAAACCCATACACTGAAAACTGACACCAGATGATGGAAGAGATTAAAGAAGTCCTGAATCCACGGAGTCAGAAAACTCAATAGTGTTAAGAGGCCAATTATCTCTCAAATAATCCTCAGATTCAATGCAATCCTGGTCAAAATCCCTGCAGGAATTTTTTTTTTCTTAAATTTACATACCAGTTCTAAAATTCATGTGGTATTGTAAGGAGTCTAGAATAGCCAATGTGACTTTGTAAAAGAACAAAGAATAAGGTCATTTCCTGATTTCAAGACAAAATAGCTAGTCATTTTGAGAGGGCGGTGTTCACTTGAATAAGATGGAAAGATTAACAGGTAGAACACGGACTCCAGAAACAGACTCCCGTGAATATGACCACTGACTTTCTACAAGGCTGCAAGGACAATTGGATAGTCCCTGTCACAAGTAACAGTGAAATCCCTGCACATCAGTACACAGAAAAGACTTCAGCCCGTTACCTCGTACCAGGCTCCCGAATTAACTCAAGCCATAGACCTGCATGCAAAACCTAGAATGTGAGCATCTAGAGGAGACCTTGGAGAAAACAATCTTCATGACCTTGGGCGAGGCTGAGATTTCTGATACAACATCAAAAACATGATTCCGCTGATCACAGTAGGACACACATGTAATACCAGATACCAGGGAGGCTGAGGCAGGGGGACCACAAGTTTGGCCAGCCACAGCAGCTTAGCAAGGCCTTGTTTCAAAATACAAAATGTGTGGGGTGCTGGGGATGTGGCTCAGTGGTAGAGCACGTGCCTGACACACCTGAGCCGTGAGCTCAATCCCTCGAGAAAATCCCCCAGACAAAATATGATCCATGAAAAACAAATTGATAAATGAACAAATTGAAAAATTTTGCTTTTCAAAAGACAACATTATGAGAAACGAAAAGACCAACCAATTAGAAGAAAATATTTGCAAAGCATGTATCAGATAAAGGATTCATATCCAGAATATATAAATAATTCCCCAGCCTCAACAAGAAGAAAACAGAAAACATGATTTTAAAAAATAGGCCAAGGGGGGATGTAGCTCAGTTGGTAAAGTGCTTGCCTCGCATGCACAAGGCCCTGGGTTCAATTCCCAGCACCACACACACACAAAAAATAGGCCAAGGTTTGAACAGAGGACACACGAGGAGGTCAGGAAATGCCCATGGACTCTCGGCACCATCAGCCAGGAGGTCGCGGTCTCCCACCACACGGCTGGCAGGACAGCCGAGTTGTAAAGACGGGCAACGTGCAGCCTGGTGAGGTCGTTGGGCCTGGCTGGTGGGCTGTGGAGCCGGCCATTTCACTCCTGGCGTTGTCCTCAAGAGAAAAGACAACGTGCGTCGTCACAGAGGCTTGCACACAAGCCTTCACGGAAGCTCGATGTGTAACAGCCCCCAACTGGTGGTCCCAGATGTCCATCACGGAGCAGACGGACAAAGGCACCGGGACTGGCCGAGGGTGACCGCGCACGCGCACGGCAGACAAGTCTCACACCAGGAGAACCCAGGAGAAAGAGCCACGCGGAGGGCTCTCTTCATGTCAAGGTCCAGGAAACACAACACTGACGGCCGCCAGGAGCCGGCGCCTGGCTGGGAAAGGGCTGGGGCAGCCAGGAGGAAGGAGTGCCCGGGGCTCGGGTGGCCGTCGCTCTCTTCCATGGTGACGGTGTCCTGGCACAGACGCACATCCAAACTCACCATGTGGCACGCTCCTTGCACCTTGACCGTACACACACACACTGCATTCAAGCTGTTTAAAACAGTTGTGCAGAAACCTGAGTCTGCAGAACAGCCGATCATCACGTCATTCCTCAGAGCATGGAGGGTCCATCCTCCTCCTGCTGGACTCACCCCAGAGCCCTTCAGAGGACAGAAGTGCAATCACGAGACGGCACTAGAGCAGGCTGTGCCCTTTTCGCAGGATGGACATTAGGTGAGTGTGAGGCCAACACCAGTCATGCCCTGCACCACCCCCACAGAGAGCTAAATCTCTCAATAACCCACACGCGCCAGTCACCACTGCCCACGGTAGCAAGCCCGAGGCTACGCGAAGAGGACTCCCCGGGCTGCAGCTCTCCACCCCCATCCTGAAGCCAGCCAGTGGAGCCCCTGAGGACCAGCGTCCAGGACAGAGGCTACCTGCCCTGTCACCCTCCACGCCAGGGGTCAAAGCTCACTTCTGAGCCAAGGGCAGGCTTGGGCCCATCCCAGCACACAAGAGATCACCAAGCGGTTTGTCCACCAGCCCCAGTGGGTCTGCTGTCCATCCGTGGCTTCCAGAAAACACTTTGCTGCCCTTGCACACACCATCTGCTATGTTCCAATGTCCCTTTCTAAACGTGTGCTGGGGTCTACTTCCCATCCTAACAGCATTAAGAGGTGACGGAGCCAGGAGGGCTGCGGCCTCCTGCGTGGGATGGCCATCTTTAAAAGGGCGAGTCTGCCCTCTCGCTTTCCGCCACAGCTGACGCACGCAGCTCGAAGGCCCTGGCGCTCACCTTAAGTCACGAGCTCAGGTGCTCTGTTACAGCAGCACAAGCTGACACCAGCTAAGACAAGGGCTCAAGGAGAAGCCCGCCTGGGGCCGAGGAACCTGCACTAATGCTGTTCATAACCCCCTCTAGAAAACCCTGCGGGTCCCCACGCAGGAGACGAGCCACAGGTGGGCAACAAAGAATGCCCAGATGGATGGATGGCAGCCCGTCTGGGAGCAGCATCCAGCTCCCCGTCAGGATCAACACTGGGAACCGAGCTGTCGTCCACAGAGCGTCCCCGAGGAGACCAGGCCATGGAGGGGAGCTGGGCTCTCCAGACCCCTGGAGTGCCCTGGGGTCCCAAAACCTTGCTGCCCAGGGATGAGTAACTATGCACTGAGGACCTGGGCAAGGTCAGTACACCAAGGGGTCCTCAGGGAAGAGAGCACGGGACAGGACCAGGTGGAAGTCAATGCCACTCCTGAGGCCAGGTGGGGCACCTGAGACCAAACCCCTCACCCCTTCATCCCTCCCCTTTGGCTCCTCTGCCCACAGCTTTCCTCTCCAGCACTGTTAGGACCCGGCCCCTGGGGGGCAAGAAGGGAGTTGTCACAAACCTTCCCTCCCAGCAAACGGGAAACCCCAGACAAGGCTGGCGTTCATTACCAGCAGCTCCCAAGTTGTCCAACATGCTCACATCTGTCAAAAACTATTCAGGGAAAGAAAGAGAAAGTCTTTATACCTTTTATCCAGCCAATTTTCCCCGAGGCACTCTGGGCTCTCTAAGAAAAGAAAAAGAGAGAAAGGAGAGAGAATCACCATCTCGTAGCCATCCTGCAGGGGCTCTCGGGGGGCCGCCTGGAAGTGAGCTCCCCCCAGGAAGCCCCCGTGAGGTTCCGCTGCCCCTGTCTCCCAGCCTGGCCTGGCACCCACCGTTCACTTAACAGGATAAACCCAGGGCCCGGGAACCTGCCGTCCCAACCCCCAGGCTCATCTCGGCCGCTGGGTGCCCCTCCCACTTTCTCATTCTTTCCTTGGCCCCACCCCCAGCACCCCTCTGCCCTCCCCTGGCAGCCCCTGTAGGCCGTGAGAGCAGCCACAGACACTTTGCAGGTGGTTAAGGAGGGTCTCTCCCGCCACACCTGGCTCCCCTGCACTTGGCCCTGGGTGGGGTGTCCCTCTGCGTCCCAGTGTTGGCCCTGGCGTGCAAGTTGATTTCGTTCTAAGTAGAGAATTCTAAACCGCTTCTCACGCATGGTCTTGTTTGGGATGAGCTGCAGTGAAGGACCCCGTGCTCGTTCACCCCATCACGGAGGGAGCCGGGCTGTGCAGCATGACAAGCGTCTCAGAGCAAATTCACAGGGACTGGGGGCCTCCTGCCTGTGCCCCGTCACTCAGGAGCCCCTAAACAAAGGGTGTGTGTGCCAGCGGGTGTGTGCCCGGCGCGCTCTGCTCTTTACCCTACATCTTCCTCATTTTTAAAGTCATAGCTCATGATGTCCTCGGGACAGAGCTTGCGCATCTTTCTATTGTGGTAAAACACACACAGGATCCTATTGTCCCCATGTTCAGTGTGTACTTCTGTGGCACTTGGTAGACTCCCCCTTGTGCCTCCGTCACTCCTACCTGGTGCCACGACGTCTCCACCCCCCAGCCCGTGTGTGAACAAGCCTGAGTTTTAGAAATCCAACGTAAAGGAGATAAAGCAAGTGGACAGAAAGGCAGCTGGACTGGGCCTCTTTTTCAGATCTGAAAAATCGCTGTGGTCACCTCCATCTACACGGCCATTCAGAGCAGGGGGCAGCGGCCACTTACGTTGCACATTTTACATGCCAGGCGCTCGACGTTGCCTTGTCCAGCCCTTGTGACCGCCCTTAGGGGCAGGCACTGTCCCTGCCATCCCCACTTTTCAGATGGAAAAGCTGAGGCTCAAGTTGGTGAGGCACCTGCCCCCCACGGCAGTCCGTCACACACGGGTGGTGGGGGAGAAGTGCCCTCTCCGCCCGCTCCACGAGGAGTGAGAGTTAGAACAATGAGCGTTGGAAACGGAGCTGGCTGGCCTGCCACTGGGGTCTCTGCAAATCACCCGGCAGCAGGGAGGGCTGTGGGCCCAGGGGCAGCCGGCCTTGAACTGGGCACCGGGCGACCGGTCACTGCCTCTTTTCCCTCCCCAGTAGAGTGGCCAAGGCAGCTTCTGGGCGTTTCCACACCAGCTCACAGTGTGAGCAGGGCCTGCGCTACTGGCAGGCACCGCCCGCGGGAGTCACGTCAGAACGAGGCGGTTGGATAAGTGGCTGACGCCGACCTACGGAGCCAACTGCTGCCCTTGGTCGATTTGGGTTATTCTGTGTTGATTTTTTTCTTGGTTTCCTTTCATGATGTGAGTTGTCCTCCCAAATCAGTACAACTGAGTCCCATTTGATCCAGCCCCTGAGCAAACACAGAGCCGGGTCAGGGTCTGGGCAGGGAGAAATGCTGCAGGCAGTGGAGAGCAGGAGTGATGGGGGACGGGGTCGAGCAACGGGGGAGGCCTTTCCACTCTTCTCCCAGGCTCTGGGCCCCGTCCACAGATGTCCTCTAAGTGCAAGGGAACTTCTGGCCCTCGAAGTCAGTCTCTGGGCGACATCAGCACATATCACTTGGCAAAGCGCCCCCTGCCACCTCCCCAGCCTCTGCCGTCCTGCCCCGAGCCACTCCTGACCTCCCTTGGGCTCTGTGAGTGTTTTCGTGGATCATGCAGAGTATCTGCTGCGTGCAGAGTGTGCGAGCAGGGTTGTGCCTGGCTGGCCTCGGGAGGCTTGGAGGCCACAGCCGTCTCAGCCTCCTAAGAGCCCTGGTGTTTGGAGCACAGCCAGAGGGAACGTGGGGGTCTGCCAGCCAAATGCCCAACCAAGCCTCTGGCCCTGTCGTGAGGTCTCAGGGTCAGTGGCTCCCCCAGAGTGGCTGGATCCTCTGTCCTGGTACCAAATCTCCAGGGTGATGAAGCTCTTTCCTGTGCCTCCCTGGAACACCTGGCCACCTGGGGAGGAAGCTGACCTGGTGTGGACCAGCCACCTCAGAGACCGCTCCTGCCCTGGCCGGGCTGCCCATTCCGGCCTGAGCCAGATGGACCAGCTGCGGTGGGCTTGGTTTGCTCTTCCGAGGTGAGCCCTGGCTGCCCACCTTCCCAGCGGCTTCCTTGGCTTCCTCTCTGCATCCCGCCCGTCCCACCTGCCCCATCTGGGGGGAGGGGGGGAGGGAGGCCCTGGGTCCATCCCCTCCCTGCTGACCACCTGGGCATGCTCCGGGGCTCGCACACGTGGAGTGGATGCCTTGGGGTTGGCAGGCTCTGCCCTCAGCTGCTCAGTGGGGTGATCAGTGCAGTGACGGCACCTCAGCGAGCCTGGTCCAGGGAGGCGCGGAGCCCACCAGGCCAGCGGTGAAGGGCAGTCACGGACACACCCTCAGTGAAGCCCCAACCAAGCGGGAGGCAGGGCCTCCCACTGTCAACTGCCTCCCCGCGAAGTCTGGGGGCTGCAGACTGCCCACTCCCCCCTGGGAGCCTGGCTGGGCCAGGAGCCATTCCACAGGAGCGGCTCTGCCTTCGGCAAGGATGACCCTGTGCACCCTGCAGTCTCTCGTCTGCCTCCCCACTGGACTGAGAAGGCCCCCACACATTGCTGGATCTCAGGGGTCCCGTTGTCCCCAGAGCCCCAGTGGGGCTGCCACAGATGGGAGAGAGTGGCTGTTTGCAGGAAGAGTGACGGAAGGGAGGAGCCCATGGCAAGGGGTCAGCCTGGAGGTCCGACCTGGGATCGGCTTCCAGGGCGGGACTCGGTCCTTCAGAGCAATGCTTGCCCCAGGGGGCATGAGCAGAGTTACCCGTCCAGAGAGACCCTGAACCGTGTTCTCGCTCTTGGCCACCCTTCCGTACCCCCATAACTAGACCCGCTCACGGCCTGCCCCACATCACCCCTCAAGCAAGGCTGGAACAAGGTCCTGGGGTCCCCTGCAACCTGCCGCCCAAGACCTTCCCTCTCCGTCTTTAACTCCACCCAAAGGCCGAGCGCCCCAAAGCTTTTGACCCTCCCGCTCTGCCACCCGTACAATACTTCATTCCCCAGGTATGACGCAGGGACCCGTGGGTGGCCCTCAGAACAGGAGGTCATCTCTCTTACTTATGCCATTTGCAGAGTGGTTATCCCAGAAAACTCCCTTCAGCTGGCTCCAGGCGGCCCTGCTGCCAGCCCTTGAGCCCCGCTGCCAGCCCTTGAGCCCCGCCGGGCGGAGGAGGCCTGGACCTCCTCCTCCCCGCCCAGGTGGGTGCCCAGGGGCGCCCTCCCTTCCTGGGCTCTTTTCTTTCTGCGTGTCCCTGTGCAGCAGGGAGCGGGGACTTCTTTAAGGCCGGAGCAGATTCCTGCCTTGGGAGAGGTCCCACAGCAGGGCCTGGAAGGACCCGGGAGGGCTGGCTGAGGGGCTCTGCCCGGCGGCCTCTGTGCCCCGCTCCGAGCCCCGTGGGACGGGCAGGCCGCGGGGAAAAGTCCACTAACGACCTGCTAACTGCTGTCTTGTGCTGCCTTGGATTGTATTAGGCCACGCTTTTCCTTGCTGCCATCCCTCAGGGGAAGCGGAAGCGAAGGTGCGACTTTGTAAATAAACGATGAGCTCTGGGCAGCTCAGGAGTGGCTGCTGGTGATGGCCGCGCTGATAGAGGTGCCCGTCACTGAAGGCTCTTTTCTTCTTCTGAAAAGAGACTGAGCTTTAGAGGGAGAAGGGCCCTTGGCTTGTGCCCACTGTCGGGGAGACTCAAGTTCTAGCAGGCTCAGCCATCACAGAGGCCACGGCAGTGGCTCTGGGCTCTGCTTAGAGCCACACTTAGGTGTGTGGCAGGGCCGCCGGGCAGCAGGCGCGGGGAGGTCACTCTGTGCTCCCGCAGCACGGCCTCCTGTCTCAGGACGCCCAGGCAGAGCCACGCGGGCACCGGCTTGCATCCCTTTGGTCTGGCTGCTGGCCCCCTCTGCCTGCATGGCCCCCGTGTGCCCTGCAGCAAGGGCTCACTTGTCCAGCACTGGCCCACTGCGCCGTGCTTTCCTGCAGTTATGTCATCGATGACGGCATCTCGTCCCCACCGCACCCTGCGGGCCGAGGCAGGGGAGGAGAAATGAGGCCAGGTAGAAAGCAACCCAGCAGGGGGGGACGAAGCTGGCCAGCCTAAGACACTCCAGGTCACCCCCCTGCTCCCCAGGTCGGTCCCCACGGACCTCCCACAGGCTCTGCTCCCCCTCAGGCCAGTGCACCCTGAGCAGCTGTGGCGCTCACCTCCCTTGCCCTCCCCCGCCTGGTCCAGGCCTCACTGGGCCTGGTCCCCAGGCCACATGGCCCTGTCCTCTTGGTCACCACCCTGCACGGTCTTCGCTGGGCTTTATTCCCCACCAGGCCCATCCCTGCACTGCTCAGCTCTCCAGAGCTGTTCTTTCTACAGGAAACCGGGCGGAGGCTTCCCCGGGCGAGTCTCCATGGAGCCGCCATGTTGGCTGCCCACAGCTGAACCCTGGAGAGAAACTCTCAGGCCAAAGGGCCCCCCAAACGGTCGCTCTCTTGAGGGGTATTTCAAAGCCACTTTTTGGTTTAGTCTTGTTTGGGGGGTCATTTTTGCGTCTTTGAATTTCTATTGTGGGGTGATAAACACCATACACAACGTTTGCCACCTTGACCGTCTCCAGGCGCTCGGTTCCGCGGCATCAGCTCATTCAGGTTGTTGTGCAGCCGCGGCGGCCACCACCTCCAGGACCTCCATCTTCCC